CACGTGACCTAATTACGACCTCACGTGACCTAACCACGACCTAACGTGACCTAACCACGACCTCACGTGACCTAATTACGACCTCACGTGACCTAACCACGACCTCACGTGACCTAACCACGACCTCACGTGACCTAATTGTGACCTCACGTGACCTAATCACGACCTCACGTGACCTAATCACGACCTCAATGGACCTAATTGTGACCTCACGTGACCTAATCACGACCTCACGTGACCTAATTGTGACCTCACGGTTATCAGATCACAACCTTCCGCTGACATCGTAACACGCCTCACGACCTCCCCTGACCCCTGCGACCTGGCATGACCCCCAGCGACCTCGCGTGACCCTCCGCGACCTCGCTCACCCGGGTCGTTGGCTGCTGGTCGGTGGCGGCGTGCAGCTTCTTCATGATGTCCTTCTCTAGCAGCGCGCGCTTCTTCTGTATGTCCTTCACAACCTCCACACACTCCACAGATGCAGACGCTTGACATTCTTCGCTCTCAAAGTGAAGAGGCCTAACACCAAGGTCTTCTAAAATGACATCACAGTCAGAAGCCAGAACAGTGCAGCGTGTCTCATCCTGTTAAAGTGTGATTAGTGTTACACTTCATTTTTATTCTAAACTTTTAACTGCATCATAGTTAAGAAACAGCGCAAGTAACATGTTTAACTCACAAAGTATTCTATTCATAAGTTGTCAAAGTGCAATGCAGGTAAACAACTGACCTCGGTGGTTTTCTTCCACTGTTCGAGTTCTGCATCGAACTGCTTCGCAATGCGATCGACACATCTCCTTGCGTTCGTCGGAGTTTGGCAAATGCCGATTGACCGCAAGGTGGAAAAAACCTAGGAAATAACATTTAACGAGCTATTGCTATGCAATGCTTTGTAAAGGTAATGTGCACACAGTGAAGTGGAACAGTATTGAATAAAAGACATTGGTGTAACCATTCACTATATCTCAAGAGGGATACCTTCTGTGTGCAGCCGCTTCTCCAAAGTAGCACTGCTACCCATGACTGCAGCAGTTTGTACGCTTTGGGATTCCTGTTGGCCAGGGCGATTGCAACAGAAGCTCCAAGCTTTTGGTCTGCAATAGGCAGTTTCTGGACAGCACCAGCTGTAATGATTTTTTTTTCAAGTAGTCCGGAAAACGCACTGTGTGCGACAGGCATGTTTGTCTTGATTTCCTTTACAACGTTGCTCCAAGAAAACGTCGAAATGCTCTCTATTTCGAGACTTTTCTTAAGGGTACTCGGTTGCCTGTTGAAGTTTTGCGCTTCTTTGTAAATTTGTTTCCTAACGAAAGACTTGAACGCAACCTGAAATACTTTGCTGGACTTCCACAGAACAGACAGTGCTTGTTCGTAGTTGGACAATGTGATCAAATTGGTAGCTTTTGTTCTGAATGACGTCTTCGCCTGGAACATAGAAATAATCAAATTTAACCATGTAATAAATGTGTAAATTTATGTAAAGAACTGTCCACGCAGTCAATGTATTAATGAAATCCATTTCAAGCACAATAACCATTTAAGGCATGATTAAAAAAATGGCAATATTTTTTTGCATATTGTTCAGTAAAGCTAACCTTTCTTGTTGAATTCTTTTTCTTAGTGGTGCAACAAGGATGGAAGTGGAAAGGACTTGTTGCAACTGATTTCAAGACTTTCCTCTTCCTTGGGGTCTTTACGGGAGTTAGCTGACTATGCAATCTCTTGCATGATGCACCCGCCGTTTCACCTTGCTTCTGATGTTGTCGTGATACATGCCCCAGCTGGACGTAGCATTCACGGCACACATGCCCACATACAGGTTCCCTTCATCAATTGAAAAAAGAAATATTATTTAATTAACATTTGTTACATCTCACCAAGTGGTACAGAAATATGCTATTGAATGTTAAGTAATACTATTTAATTACATTAATAACATGATAACATAACAATGATAATATATAACATTGACTTACCGGTGCGCATATATTTGGTAAGTAATTAAACTAATCGTGCTTCAATAAACTCAGAGATCATAGCCAAGACAGTAGACACGTATATCTATATCATGTATCAGCTGGCTTTCCAAAACGCTGTGGCTATATGCCCGGCAGCCGGGCACGGTCTTCGATTTCCTAAATGCCCGGCAGTTTGAACTCTGTTTGACCTGGCTCGTTCAGATCTTTCTGACTAACCCTAACCATAACCCTAACCTTAACCCTAATTAAATTTAATTAACACTAATAAATTTTTTTAAATTAAATTGTCGTAAATAAATTATGTAAATATTTTCGTTAATTGGAAAACAATAGTTAAATAGATAAAGATACAAAAATACAGAAAACAGGAAAATAATTAAAATCATGACGGGATTCGAACCATCGACCTTTCGTAAGTAAAGCGGGTGCTCTAACCCAGGCTTTCATTTTCAAGGGGCGCGATCGCGCTCGCACTCCACCGCGCACCCGAAATTGTGCCATGGTGCGCGCATCATCACGCCTCATAAAAGTGGTTGAAATGAATTACAACCAATTAACAGCATTTCTCAGCTTTCTGTAATATAGACTGAATGAACAGAAGGCTATAATGAAATGTTACATATAACACTGATACTGATAGTGATAGTAACATTATCATGCTGCTCATGCTGTCTGCAGATAGGCTAGTTCCCGTTTCAGTTTCTCTTTGCAGTTGGCTTTCATATTACTGACTTTACTAATAACTAGCCAGTTATAGACAAGATGAGTAATATTTCCCAACAGTGTAATCAATTTCACACAATTAAATATTATGTTGGTAACAAACTATCAACTAGTTACGGTCCGGTGCCTTCCAAACTATATAGTAATCAATACACGCGATGTCCTATGTACAGTATCGCACGGCCAGCTCAGCGCGGTTAGATACAATGGCGTTATACATGCATATCAAGAGTAGATAATAACACAAGAGTGAGACACCCGATTCCCGCATTTTTAACCAATTTTTCTCATCAAAATTTGCCACCAATAAAGAAGCAAGTGTATACGTTCCTCAGCTTATTATGACCACTAATCACTCACCTTTGTGGTACTGATATTCGTTTACATATATTTGCTAGCGTATTGCTGTAAATCGTAATCTTGCACGAGCTGAATTCGCACAATTTACCGATAAAATGGCGCTATTGTGTGAGGTGTTTAGACAGATATTGAAGCTATCCTGGCGCCAATATTTAGCAACGGACTGCTTCCAAATCATTCATGCCCCGATAGGGGTTTAATGTACTTGATTACCTGCGCGTGCGTAATGTGATACTTATTGCAAACTACTACAGAGAATATTGTTATTATTGTATTATTACATATGTAAGATAGTATGTCAATTTCTTGTGTTGCGATCACAATAACTGAGCGCGTCTCGCGGTTCCTCACGAGATCAAAATTCGAAATTTAGATTGTCTCTGAACCCTATCGGGGCACGAATGATTTGGAAAACCGTCCGTTGCTAAATATTGGCGCCCCGATAGCTTCTAAATAATGTCTAAACAGGTCACAATAATAGCGGTAAATCGTGCGAATTCAGCTCGTGCAAGATTACGATTTACAGCAATACGCTAGCAAATATATGTAAACGAATATCAGTACCACAAAGGTGAGTGTGCCGATTAGTGTTCATAATAAGCTGAGGAACGTGTACACTTGCTTCTTTATTGGTAGCAAATTTTGATGAGAAAAATCGGTTAAAAATGCGGGATCGCTTCTTTATTGGTAGCAAATTTGAGAAAAATCGGTTAAAAATGCGGGAATCGGGTGTCTCACTCTTGTGTTATTATCTACTCTTGATGCATATGTACTAGACTGATGTACACCAATGTACAGTCATGTAAACACAAAAGTTAAAGTCGGTTTTTTACAGGATACAAAGCACGCCGAGTAGCGAACAAAGAATTACGACCATTTCTAGGAAATGTCTAGCTACCTGGGTAGTCAAACCCCTCGTGCAATGGCCAGAACTGCTCAATTCAGCGATTGCAGGGCTTTTGCCTATACAGTGGACCCGTTGAAGAATATTGAATAAGTGCAGCGAAGTTGTGTTAGTGTGCCGCTACGCGGCTTTTTTCGCGTTTGCGCGGATATCCGGCTGCCGATCGTCGAGTGCCTTGTAAAATACAAGAGAAGGAGCCAAGATAGAAGAGCGAGTTGTTGCATAAGTTGTTGGCGCAGCGTCAAAACAAAAGGTACCGTGCTGCCACCTATTTCCGTTTCGTAAACTTGGTGAACAATTCAAACCGATACTCATCAACTACACCACCACACCCCCCAGACATCGACATGGCATCGTCCAGTCACACCAACGTACCTATACGTGGGAATGGATCGTCCCACTCGCAATCCAACAGGGGTGTTTTTTTTTTTTAAAGGGCACAATTTATACAGCGAGAGACGATGGTGGGGGGGATACATCGTTACTAATTACTACTGTGACGACGACGATGACGACACGCGACAGAAACTACTTCATGTACAAACTACCAGAGTAAAGNCTACCTGCTAGAAGGCGGTGACCAAGAATGAGGTACTTGTGATGGCGCCTCAGCCAGAACTCGGGCATGGAGATGCGCCACATGCTGATCTGGGCAGCGCCGTCACCTTCTCGAACTACGTCTCTTTGAGCTCGGTCAAGGAGCCCTCGCCATAAAACAGACTTGCTATACTCGAGAACATGGTCGAGTTCGCCTTCATTCAGGCATGTGCTCTCACTCTTCGATGCGCGGCATTCGTCTGAGCAGAACCACTCTCCTTCCGGAATTGTGGATTCAGTTATTCCCACGCAATCGAGGTGAAACCAACTGCCACTCTTGCACAGCATGTTGTCACATGCTATCATAGCAGTGTCTCGCTCTGAAACACGCAAACATAGAACACCGCCCTAGAGGTTTAGGTGTGTCAAACAAATTATTCCTATGCCATTCGCACACCATGTTTACAAACCGATTGCAATACCATTTAAAATGTTTAAGGGACTGAAAGTGGCAATCATTATGTTTAAGGCTATGGGACAAAATGTAATGTACCTTCCATGCATGTGCAGTACTCATCTGCTGATGCAGCATTTTTGGCAGTTTCACAACAGATGTCGTTGTCACCCTCGACGACATCTGCCAGGTCTTCTTTTGGCAGCTGAGCATGCATATTGGTATCCGTTATACAACGTGAATACTAGTATTAACGTTAACAGGGTAGGATAAGCACACATTGAATTTTGCCAAAGAATTTTAGGTACAATATTTGACGGGACTACAATGACACCTTCAATTTTAAGCAAATTGTGGCGAAAATATGATATTAAATGTTCAAACACCTTATTTGCAGAATGGAGTTATATTTTACCTTTGCAACTGTCATAGCATATGTTTAAACCGCTGTTGTCATATCTCACCTGCAACCAAACTGTCGAAACGATGCTTCTGGCGAGATGAGACACATCGAGCGTCAGTTTGTCTGTGAGCTTCGATGTTCCGCACAACATCATCGCCAGATAGCATACCATTCCAGCTGTTGTGAACTTGAGGAAATCCTCAACATGGTTGAAGTTGTCCATGACCTTTTTCTTCAAGTTCCTAATGTTATAAGTTAATACAGAAATGCATTGAGTAG